GTTCAGTCAATTGCTGATGGCCATTATCACTTTTCTCTTTTGCTCTTACTTGTGCACTATATTTGCGACGTCCTTTATAGACTCTTCCAAAAGAGCCTTCTCCAATCATTTCCAACACATGATACCTGTCCATGATTAGAATGTACGGAAAAGGATGAGAGCATAACCTGTTGAGTACAGAAACAGACACTTAGCTCCTGCAAGTTAAGTCATCAGTACTTCCCTCTGCCACATTCTCAAATTGACCTCTTTGCTCCTCCAATAATTTTCTCACATTTGTCCTTTTCCCTTCTGAATTTTTCATAATTCAAAAGTTGCCTCCACCCCAAATTATGGTATATTTCGCACACTTCAGATTCTTCCTGTAACAGGGAGCCTGATTACTAGATCTTTGCTGAGCAATAATGGTATTACTAGGTTTCTCTATTAACTAGATTCTGCAAAAAAAAATCTACCTCTACTTCAATTAACATCAGTGAAATTATACAACAAGGTCTCTTCTCTGGCTTACATTTGGCTCCTCTTTCTTACTGGAAGTCTGGTCATTATTATATGTACCATACCCTTCTAACCTTTGTTTGGAAAACTTTTGATTTGATTGTGTATCTCCCAGTTTCTGGAAACTTCATTGGGCTTCAACCACTTCCATTAACAGTCCTAAAACACAAGACAAATCCCTTGGAATTGGAAAACCAAAGAGTCCAGTAACATTGAAACATCTTTGGTGGGATGAATTTTCATAGCAAATTTCTTTGGGGTGCAATACATTAAGCAAATAAAATCAAAACTTTCTGCTTTACTCATCCTTCAAACTGGAAAGGAAGAGGCTCTTTTACGACAGCTCTTTAGCACCTCCTTTTAGAAGACTCAAGGAAAATTGTGAGAATTTATAGATTGCCTTTTAGTTTCGTTCTTTATTCTGATCTCTTTGTCTTTTTTTAATCTGACTTATTTTTGGTTATTATATTATATTATATTATATTATTATATTATATTCCCCTTTATGGATTACTGCCTTGTCGTGGCGAAGGGGCTTGCGTAACTCAATGAAGCTATGAGTTATGCCATGCAGGACCACCCAAGATGGACAGGTCACAGCAGAGAGTTCTGACAAAATGTGATCCACTGGAGAAGGAAATGGCAAACCACTCCAGTATCTTTGCCATGAAAACCCCATGGACAGTACTAAAAGGCTAAAAGATATGACGCTGGAAGATGAGCCCCTCAGGTCGGAAGGTGTCCAATATGCTACTGGGGAAGAGCAGAGGGCTAGTACTAGTAGCGCCAGAAAGAATGAAGCGACTGGGCCAAAGCCGAAAGGATGCTCAGCTGTGGATATATCTGGTGGTGAAAGGAAAGTCTGATGCTGTAAAGATCTTTTCTCCATAGGAACCTGGAATGTAAGATCCATGAATCAAGGCAAGCTAGACGTAGTCAAACAAGAGATGACAAGACTGAACATCGATATCTTAGGATTCAGCGAACTAAAATGGACAGGAATGGGTGAATTTAACTCAGATGACCATCAGATATACTACTGCGGGCAAGAATCCCTAAGAAGAAATGGAGTAGCCTTCATAGTCAATAAAAGAATAGGAAAAGCAATACTGGGATACAATCCCCAAAATGACAGAATGATCTCAGTTCGAATCCAAGGCAAACCATTCAATATCACAGTAGTCCAAATCTACACCCCAACCACTGGTGCTGAAGAGGATGAAATTGACCGGTTCTATGAAGCCCTACAGCATCTTATAGAATTAACATCAAAAAATGATGTCCTTATCATCATGGGGGATTGGAATGCTAAAGTAGGAAGCCAAAAGATAACCGGAATAACAGGCAAGTTTGGCCTTGGAGTACAAAATGAAGCAAGGCACAGGCTGATAGAATTTTGTCAAGAGAATACGATGGTCATAACAAACACTCTTTTCCAACAACCCAAGAGACGGCTCTACACATGGACATCATCAGACAGTCAAATAGAAATCAGATTGACTATGTGCTCTGCAGCCAAAGATGGAGAAGCTGTATACAGTCAGTAAAAACAAGACCAGGAGCTGACTGTGGCTCAGATCATGAGCTTCTCGTTGCAAAATTTAGGCTTAAATTGAAAAAAGTAGGGAAAAGCATTAGGCCACTCAGGAATGAATCATATTCCTGATGAACATACAGTAGAGGTGACAAATAGATTTAAGGAATTAGATCTGATAGACAGAGTGCCTGAAGAACTATGGATGGAGGTTCACAACATTGTACAAGAGGTAGCAACTAAAACCATTCCAAAGAAAAAGAAATGCAAGAAAGCAAAATGGCTGTCTGAGGAAGCTTTGCAAATAGCTGAGGAAATAAGGGAAGCGAAAGGCAAAGGAGAAAGAGAAAGATACACCCAATGGAATGCAGAATTCCAGAGAATATCTAGAAGAGATAAGAATACCTTCTTAAATGATCAGTGCAAAGAAATAGAAGAAAAAAACAGAATAGGGAGGACCAGAGATCTCTTCAAGAAAATTGGAGAGATGAAGGGAATGTTTCATGCAAAGATGGGCATGATAAAGGACCAAAATGGCAGGGACCTAACTGAGGCAGAAGAGATCAAGAAGAGGTGGGAAAACTACACAGAACTATACAAGAACGAGCTTAACGTCCCAGATAATCACGATGGGGTGGTCACTGACCTCAAGCCAGACATCTTAGAATGTGAAGTGAAATGGGCCTTAGGAAATCTGAGCAACAACAAAGCTAGTGAAGGTGACAGTATCCCAGCTGACCTATTCAAAATCTTAAAAGACGATGCAATAAAAGTGCTACACTCAATTTTCCAGCGAATTTGGAAAACTCAACAGTGGCCACAGGACTGGAAAAGGTCAATTTACATTACAATTCTAAAGAAAGGCAATGCCAAAGAATGTTCAAACTATCGCAACATTGCACTCATTTCACATGCTAATAAAGTTATGCTTAAAATCCTACAAGCTAGACTCCAGCAGTATGTGGATCGAGAACTACCAGAAGTACAGGCAGGATTTCGAAGAGGCAGAGGAACTAGAGATCAAATTGCCAACATACGCTGGATCATGGAGAAAGCTAGAGAGTTCCAGAAAAACATCTACTTCTGCTTCATTGACTATGCTAAAGCCTTTAATTGTGTGGATCACAACAAATTGTGGCAAGTTCTTAAAGAGATGGGAGTACCAGACCATCTTATTTGTCTTTTGAGAAACCTATATGGATCAAGAAGCAACAGTGAGAACTGGATACGGAACCACTGATAGGTTCAAAATTGGGAAAGGCATCCGGCAAGGCTGTATACTGTTGCCCTGTCTATTTAACTTATATGCAGAGCACATCATGAGAAAGGCAGGGCTAGATGAATCAAAAGTTGGAATTAAGATTGCCAGGAGAAATATCAACAACCCAAGATATGCAGATGATACCACTCTAATGGCAGAAAGTGAAGAGGAACTAAAGAGCCTCTTGATGCGGTGAAGAAGGAGAGTGCAAAAGTTGGCTTGAAACTCAACATTAAGAAAACAAAAATCATGGCATCTGGTTCTCTCAATTCCTGGCAAATAGATGGGAAGAAATGGAGTTAATGACAGATTTTATTTTCCTGGGTTCCAAGATCACCTCAGATAGGGACTGCACCCAAGAAATTAAAAGACGCTTGCTCCTGGGGAGGAAAGCTATAGCAAATCTAGACAGCATATTAAAAAGCAGAGACATCACCCTGCCAACTAAAAGTGCGTATAGTCAAGGCCATGGTTTTCCCAGTTGCAATGTATAGCTTTGAAAGTTGGACCATAAGAAAGGCTGAGCGCCAAAGAATTGAGGCCTTTGAACTATGGTGTTGGAGAAGACTCCTGCAAGTCCCTTGGACTGCAAGGCGTTCAAACCGGTCAGTCCTAGAAGAGATCAACCCCGACTGCTCTTTAGAAGGCCAGATCCTGAAGTTGAAACTCAAATACTTTGGCCACCTAATGAGAAGGAAGGACTCACTGGAGAAGAGCCTAATGCTGGGAAAGATTGAGGGCAATAGAAGAAGGGGACGACAGAGAATGAGATGGCTGGATGGAGTCACTGAAGCAGTAGGTGTGAACTTAAATGGACTCCAGAAGGTGGTAGAGGACAGGAAGGCCTGGAGGAACGTTGTCCATGGGGTCACGGTGGATCGGACACGACTTCGCAATTAACAACGATATTATATTATATTATATTAATTATATTATATTATTATTATATATTACTATTATTATATTATATTATATATTAACCAGAAACCTTTCTCAAATTTCAGTTACTGCAGTTTCAACAAGAAATAAAGTTCTTCCCAAGGACACCTTTCCCTCCTAATTTTTACTGTATTTTATAACACACCGCACACCCACAACACATAGGGGATGATAACTGCAGCTGCTGCCAAGAGTTCCTTTGGCTTTATTCCCATAGTGCTTATTAGACCTGTTTCTTTCCAAAATGTTTGCAGAGAGACATTAAAACGGAAAGGCTAAAAATCCTGTACCCTTTTAGCTTAGAGCAGTGTTTCTCCCTCCCTCCTCTGAGGACTTCCAACTTCCAGAATTCCCCTCCCCAGTCATGGCTGGCTGGGGGATTCTGGGAGTTGAAGTCGACACGTCTTAAAGCGGCCCGAGGGGGAGAAACACTGGCTTAGAGAGCGCTCATCCACTGCTAGGACTTACTTCTAAGTACCTGTGCAGAACGCGCGGCCAGCGTTTCAACTCACAGCAAAACACGGTCATCCCCTCCCCTCCCCTCCCCTCAGTCCGCCGTCCCGCCACTCCGATCCGTCTCTGCCCGGGGATGACCAAGGGGCTCCTCGCGAGGAAGGGAGCGGAGATTTAGCTCCGGCACTCCAAGGGCGGGAAGGGAGGGAAACCTGCACGCTCAAGACGCCCGTTACTTGCCAAGCGTCAGACTACGGCGTCGCCGACCTATCGCCTAGCAACTCCTGGCGCCGGAAGTAATCGTGGCCGATTTAGCCGCCTTTCCGCTTTTCCCGCTGGCGAAAATGGCCGCGGCAGGGGAAGAGGAGCAGACGGGAGTGGAAGATTGGTAAGAGGGCGATTGGTGTCGTTTTGTCCGAATTACCAAAACTGGGTTCTGTTTTGCCACCCTCTACTTAACCTCTATTTTTGGCAAAACCCTAATTAAGAGTTCATAAGGAAGCTGAAAGTTTAGCTGAGAACGTCTAATCAGTATCTGTCTCTGAAGTATACTAAAACTATTTCTGTTGGGGCAAGTAGATCTGCGCTACAAACATCCGGACTCAATATTGCAGCAAAAAGTTTGTTATACAGGCTTAGGCCTTCGCGGCTGGCGTCAATGGAAGCAGTGATGAGTTTTCGGGCTGAATGGCGAAACGTTAGAACAAAAGAAAAGTAACATCTCATACTATGCAGGCAGAAGGAATTTAAGAAAATGAGATATATCTGTAACATTTCTTTTTTTCTTCAGGGGTTTGCCTTCAGAAGTGGAAGTCTTGGAGTCTATCTATTTGGACGAGCTTCATGTGTTTAAAGGAAACAGGTATTTGCTTTATTGTCAGATGTTTTGTTGGCTTACAGGTAAAACATAACAAGAGTATTTATGTGTAGTTATAAATAAACCCTGAGGCCAGATTTCGGTATGAATAATCTTCTCTGGCTTACATGCCAGAAGAAAGGAGTAAAATTCACTCCTATATCACGCTCTGAGTTACATAGATACAAATCCTTAAGATTGTAAATGAGGCTGTCTGTTAAAGTCACCAGTGCAAGAGAGCTCCAACGTGTTACTTTTTAAATTTGTTCTCTTTTCTGACAATTGACTTTAGCTTGCGCCTCTCTCAAACTAGATCTGTTCCCTGGGAAATCTCCATCACACTACACCCAGCAACTGCTGAGGATCAAGATTCTCAGTATGTCTGTTTCACCCTTGTATTGTCTGTGCCTCTGCAGGTAAATGTCTTAAGTGCTGTTTTTCTAGTTATTTCATCATGGAGCATGGCTATGCTATATATTTACACTTGGGTTGGTTTTCTTTTAGTATCCAAATGAAATACCAAAGATTGTTATCCAGAATCCTCGGGGATTATCAGATGAACAGATCCAAAAGTAAGTACTTTGATCAATTAGTCACACGCTTTCTTTGGAAGTGGGTTTTTGATACCCATTTTTACTTCTGTAGTTCTGTTCCTTTATATGTAGCTGTCCTTCAGAAGAGGAAGGTAATGTTTCTGTTCTAATATTAAGGATACTATTATATTGTGTGATAGTGAAAAGAAGGTAGTTTGTATATATATAATACATTTGTGGATTATCTGGACAACAAAGATTTTGCTTCCTGAACACTTGGGTGGATCTTGTAGATTTTTGGCTGCTAATCATAAAAATAACCTGTAATTTAACTATCACATACCATTTTGTAGAAATCTTTTGTTTTATACAGTTGTAATATACATCCTTCAGTACCTATTGGCTATGCTGCATACATTGAAAAAAAAACCCCAAAACATGGAACTGTTGTTAAAGCACATTAGTACACTACGCTTAACTGGAATATCTGTGGTTATCTAAAAGTAGTGGCTCTGCTGCTTGGAATGCAGTTCAGATATACCAAGTACTGTTATTACATATGTGAATGGGACAACCGTACAAGAGAGTCTCATTATACTAAAAAGAAATGATCACTCTGAAAGAATTTGATTCCAGGAAAGAAAAATATGGCATGTGAACTTTGTTGACCCAACAAAGATATTTGTTTTCCACTTCACATAAAACCCAGACTGATGAAAAATGTTGTGAAAGTGATGAGCAAGGAAGGTGAAGGTTTTTGTTATTTGAGACAGATGTTTCCAAGAATAACTGATACCAAGATTAAGGCATTTTTATTGGTCAACAGATCAGATTCACCATCAATGACAAGTAGTTTGAAGATTTGTTAGTGCAGGGGTGGGCAATTAATTTTTCTATGAGGCCACATGAGAAACTGAGACTGTTGTGGATGGTCAAACAAATAGGCTGAATTTAATTCTGCTCAATATTACTTTTATTGCTTTGTCAAACCAGTAAATTATATGGTTTTTATTAGTGTTTCTGGTAAGAATACATGTTATGTCTTATTTACATTTTATTTAAATAATTTATTTATTAATTTCCAATTGACCTCACGCAGGCTGGATAGGGACAACCAAAGGCTGGATGTGATGCGGGGCCATAAGATGCCCAGATCTATGTTAGTGGGACCAGAGAAAATCACCTGGAAAGCATTTAAAGATGTCATAGAGAATTTTCTTGGCAACTATAAAGCACTATCCTTCCTTCAGTTGCTTGTTGAACATCTTACAGCACAAAATGCCATGAAACATGTCACTGAAGATTCATTTTCTGTTATTCATACTTGGATTTCTTTCCCAAAAGTCTAGGTGCAATCAATGATGAACATAGTGCAAGGTTTCACCAGAACATTGTCACAATAGAAAAATGGTATCAGGGCAATTGGAATCCATCAATGCTGGCTGACTGAAGGACACTAGAGCTAGACACATTGGACACTGAATATAAACAAAAATCAGCAAAACACTTTAGCCCTGCTGAATTCCTGCAGTATGTTGGAAACATTATGCAATTAAATATAGTCGTTGAAAGTTAATTTCATGTTTCCCAAGATTCCTGTGTGATGCAGTCATTCTAAACTTATATCTGTGTTCAGTTTGAAGAGGTTTATCATACACATCAAAACTTTTTCAGGAAGCAAAATTTTTGGAAAAAAATTATCGTCCAGTATATGGGATTTATTTTGGCAGAGGGCGTTAAAGGAGAACTTTATGGAAGAAATTTTTGATCAGCTAAAGCACCAGATGGACAGAGGTGTCTGCTCCACATTTCTTTACACCTGCCTTACCAATACCCGTAAGGCCTTGCCCTTTTCTTTCCTTTTTCTCAGAGGGCACTCAGAAAAGCTGGGCAACCCAAGCTGCTGTTGCTGCTTATCAAATGAGGAGGCAAATGCAACCCCACCATGGGGTAAGCTGAGGGGAGCCTTGCAGTATTAAGCCACTATGACAGATTCATTCATCCCCATGGCAATAACTTCCCATGACAAAGGCAGCTTGGGTTCCTTTACTGTGCTCATTCCACAGGTAGTGGTAGCCTATCCATATGACATAATATACTGAGAGTATAATTATTTCCTATTGTCATTCCTTTTAAAGTGTTTGGAAGTATCTTTTTTTGTGCAGGGCTGCAGATTACAGTCTCTCAGACTGAGCCTGGGCTTGTTTTAATGTTCACCTTGTCATTGTGTTTGATCAATTTAGCCACTTTATTAAGTACTGCCCTCTGGTTTTTGTCTTGATGCCCCTTTTCTGCCTATCTAGAATTTCTCAGACACTGCAATGTATTGCTGAGAGTCAGCTGGGTACACCTGTGCTATATGAACTAATAGAGGTAAGAGGAGAGGAGAGAGATCTGTGAGGTTACACAGGGTGGCGGTAAGGAATGGTTTTAGCTTGGACTGTAGGATGTGAAATTACACACTGGCTTTTTCTCTCAACAAGAAGGGAAAAGAAATCCTCACAGACAACAACATCCCTCATGGGCAGTGCGTGATTTGCCTGTATGGCTTTCAGGTAAGGGCATTGTGGACTTAGCATTTTTTAAAAAAATCATTTTGGGAATTAGAGGAATTGAAATCATTAAGGAGAAAAAAAAATGAGATGTGGGTGAGCTTCTTGAAAAGATGTCTAGATAGGAATCTCTTAAGATTGTCGTGATGCAGTTAACTTGATGCAAAAGAGAATCAAATGGGGATTTTAGGAAAATTGAATATGGCAAAGGAGTTTATTAGGGGGCATACTCCTGTTTCTGTAGCCTACATGAAAATGCTACCTACCCGCCCTTAGAAGCAGCTTTTCACACAAAAGGACAGGATGCAGTATTTTGTGGAATAAAAAATAAGAAATCCATTAGTTATATGCAGGACGTTTTATGTGATTCTTTGGAGTTAATCTGTTATGGGAGTAGACTTTAAATGTGGCAAACACTGCCCTCTGTAATATTTCCTGAAAGAATAATGCTCAATGTACTCCTGAGAATCTCTACTTTCATCTTCACAGGAAAATGAGGCTTTCACCAAAACCCCGTGTTACCACTACTTCCACTCACGTTGTCTTGCTACTTACATAGAGTATATGGAGAAAAAAATCAACGCACAGAAGAAAGAAAGAATGCAACATTTGACACCTGTGTCCAAAGAGGTAATGAATTCTTCCACTGCAGCTGCTTGACTGCTCTTTTCTTCAGGAATGGCTTTTTAGTTTAGGTCAGGGGTGTCAAACTCAATTTCACTGAGGGCCGCATCAGCATTGCGGTTGCCCTCAGGGGGCCGGGTGGGTGTGGCCAGGGTAGGTGTGGTTGGGTGGCCATGGAGGGAGGGGGTGTGGCCTACTGGGTGGGCGTGGTCATCTCTACATCAATCGCATCAAGGGTGCCTGTGGGGGCCTGGGCAGGAATGGGACAGATCTGAGGGTCTCTGGCAGAAGGGGGTGGAACCAGGGTAAGTGCCAAGCATGGTACACTGGAGGAGCCTCACTGTTCCTCTCAGGCCATGTGGGGGGGGGCTGAATGGTGGTGCAGGCTGCCCAGAGCCCTGGGCAGCAGAGGTCAAATGCCCAGCCTGGCCCTTGAGCACCCACGGCACCAAGCCCAGCCCCACTTCCTCAAGACTGCTGCTAAGGTTCTCCTGGTTCCTCCCTGTTTCCAGACAGCCTTGTGGAGCTAAAACTGAATATGTTTCAGCATAAATGGCCACCACAAAATTGTACATTGGCTCCCAGCTGGCCTGGGCCAGGGCCAAGGCAGCAGGGACCGTTCCCTCACTGTTTCCAGGATGGCTTAACGGGCCACATGAAACCACTTTGCGGGCCGCATCCGGGCCCCAGTCCAGGCCTTGTGTTTGACATGTCTGGTTTAGGTCAGTATTGCCAGGTTATTTCAGTTTGTTCAATTATGGCACTGTGAACCTGGAAAAAATATTGGAGATAACAATTAATTTTAATAAAATTATTAAGGATAAATGATAAACAGCTTCCCTTTTACTGATGCAATATTCTGGAAATATTCTAATTTAAAATTTGTGGGAGATGAATAATATGTCTTTCTCTCTGCAGTGTTTTAGTAAAGTTCTGTGAATAGAGGTCATCTTTCTGGCTTTTGTTATATAGATGAACAAAAACCATGTGCATTATTCTTGGAAGAATACATTCCAGGTTTTTTTTTCAAGAAAATGGTTACATTTTGACCAAGATGGTTCTTTTTAGGGAATGAAAGAGGATGAGAATATGTTTTATGTTCTGGATAAGTGTTTTGTGGGATATGGTATTTGTCAAGATATGAAATGATTCTCTCTTTCTTCCTCCATAAAAATAAGAGAGGAGGGCAGCACTGAATGCATCTTTCCCTGAGATCTCAGGAATTGTGGTAGTTAGAGGTAAAGTTGCTGCAGCAATGCAAAAAAAAGAAGGAGAAGAAGAAGAAGCATGAAATGCCAAAAAGACTCCATCATGAATAATAACATAATTGGTAGTGTGCCATACTGTTTCCTCTCGGTTTTGGCACTTGGGAGGGCACTCTTAGAAGACCTACGTCTGTGATGGCAAACCTATGGCACGCGTGCCACAGCTGGCACGCAGAGCCCTCTCTGTGGGCACGTGTGCCATCGCCCCAGTCCTAGGCCTTCAGCTGGGTTTTATAAAACTTTTTTGCTTTAGGCCTCCGCCACCATGTGCAAAAAAAAAAAGGTTCAATCAATCAACCAATTTCAACTTCTCGCGGGAAAAAAAAAGATCTTGCAAAGTTGGAAATGATTGGTTGAACTTTTTAGTCCCACCCAGTCTGCCATTACCACTGCAGCCACGCCCACCCAATGGGCCATGCCCACCCGGCACCCAACGATGCATAAGTGAGCTTTGGGTTGCAGTTTGGGCACTCGGATCTCTAAAAGGTTCGCCATCACTGATCTAGGTAAAAAGCTTGGGATCCAGACTTTTCTATTAGTACCAAGTGCTGGGATAATTGCTTTTGATTGAGAAGTAGCCATGGACTTGTCTTAAAGCATTTGTTATCCACTAAAGCAGAGCATCAGAGGGGTATGAAGGTAGAAGCAGAATATTCCATGGTGTGGCCTAATTACACAATGCGTATGGTTGTTTCTGTTATCTTTTCTTGCATAGGATATTGAAGTGCAATGCCCTGTGTGCAGGGAGCCTCTAGCGTATGACCTTGCCACATTGCAGGCAGCACCATTACCGCAGCAGTCGATGGTAAGGAAAATTGGCAACCAAACCTTTTGCATGGAACCATTGCTGTTTAAAAGATGGAACAAACCAGTGGTTTAGGATTTAGCCTAAAACCCACATCATATCAGTTTTGCTGAATCATTTATAAACAGTGACATCAGTGGAGCTCTGTAGCTCGGCGGGAGGTGGGAGGGATGGAGAAAAGAAATGGCCAAATGTCCACAGCATGTTCTCATTCTCACAATGTATAACAATTTTTAGCTATGTGCCCATAGCCTAATGTATAGTGCAAAATCTAAATAAGTTTTTCTGCTCAGGTTTTCCAGGTAGATCTGAGAATGATGCAGGTTTTAGTGTAGGACACAGGTCGGCAACCTGCGGCTCCGGAGCCGCATGCGGCCCTTTGAGCCTTCCCCTGTGGCTCCCAGCCTCCTCTGCCTTTGCAGAGAGAGACAGAGAGGTAATTGCGCTTCCCTGCTTTTCTCTCTCTCTCTCTCTCTCTCTCTCTCTCTCTCTCTCTCTCTCTCTCTCTCTCTCTCTCTCTGTGTGTGTGTGTGTGTGTGTGTGTGTGTGTGTGTGTAAAAGAGAGTGCACTCACAGTGTTCTCCGAGGAGCTGAAAAACTTACTGGGCGGAGCTCCTCCCTTTGCTGCGTCTCTGCAGGAAGCAGGAAGGGCAGGAGAGAGCTAGCTAGCCCAGCTAGGCTGACTCAGGAATTCTGGGAGTTGAAGTCCATGAGTCATAAAAGAGACGAGGTTGCCTACCCCTGAGCTTGTTGGACAACAAGCCAGGTGAGCAGCAGATGGGGGGGGGAAGAAAGAGAGAGGGAGGGAGAGAGAGAGAGAGGAAAGAGACAGAGAAAGAGTGGGGGAAGAGGAGTGGCAGACCAAGGGCAGATAGAGAGGGAGGGAGAGAGAGAGACAGAGAGAGAGAGACCCTTTTGACATCTAAAATGAAGATAACACTGCATATATCCTTTTTTTACCTGTGTGTGTATGTAATTTTATTCTCTTAAAACATTTTCTTGGTGATCATTGTTTTAATAATATGGATATTCCCAAGAGTCATATTTTTACTTTTATTTTTAATGTGTGTGTGTGTGTGTGTGTGTGTGTATATATATATATATATATATACACACACACACACACACACACACACACACCCCTATAATAAAGGGTTTTGCGGCTCCCGGTGTTTTGTTTTTGGTGGGAAATGGGTCCAAGTGGCTCTTTGAGTGTTTTGGGTTGCCTACCCCTGGTGTAGGATGTCTGGAGAGCTCAGCTTGGGAGAGGGAAGTCTGCCTAAACCATTTGTCCTTCTAAGAATGATGTCAAGATCTTTTTTTTTTCCTGCTTTATCTAAACTGTGCACCTTTCCAGGTGGGCACCATAGTTATAGTGTTGGGCCTGAAAGTTCCACTCCTGAAATACACGGTGTTGTTCCCCCTCAGGAAGTATACCAGCCTGACCAACAGACACTGCAACACAGAGAGCAGTTGCGTCAGCACTTCCAGAGGCAGCAAGAAAAAGGCGGCATCATTGACGTGGAGCTGGAGAGAAATCGCTATTTTGTTACCCTGCAAAGGGTGAGTGGATCGGCAGAATAGAAGGAAAAAGGGTTATTAAGGAAGGAAGGAAGAAACTGAATAGCATCCAAAATCAGGAAGCTATTAATCCTCTGTGCAGGGAATGAAAAGTAAGCTTTTACTTGGTTGACAGTCTTGGAGCACAAGATATTTACATCTTAAGCAATTCCATAAGTATCTTTTAGGTAATTGATTAAGATTGAAACATCAAAGCCATTTTGGATGAATGAATTTTGTTGTCAAGAGCATGTTGCAATGAGAGATTTATTATAGAATCATGCTAGAGAATATGAATTTGGTGACACCAATATTTTAGCCCATGCTGCATGATCTTTCTGGTTCATTTATTTTATCTTAATTTGTTTGCTTTCTTCTCAGCCCTCTGATGTCAAGGAATTTGACCATGTAGCCATCTCAGAAAATGACCTGGGAACTAAGAATAAGCTGAAGTCACCAGCCATTTCAGAATATACTCGAACAAGTACAACATCCATGAGCGATGAGCTAAAAAATACAGATAAATCATCTTTTACTTTCCCTCACCATAATAGGAGAGAGAGAAATCAAGGGGAGAAGCCATCTTTACAAAATCCCAGCTGGCAATTACATTATAAGACATTCGAGATGGCAACAGGAAAGTATGTTGAGGAAGAATCTGAAGCCTTAAGTAGGAGATCTAATTGGAAGAAGGAAAGAGGGCGGTGGAAGTATGGGAGATACAACCAAGATATTTCAAAATCTTACAGCCGAAACCAGGAGTCCTCATTCTTGGATAAAAAAGATCTGTGTGCCAAATGTCTCCCATCAGCCAAAGAAGAGAAATACAACATGGAGAAGTGGATTCCAATGCCAAAAACTCAAGCCTCAAACAGAGAGAAAGTGGACATTTGCCCTGGGGAGCTCAGAGGACAGAACACATGGCAAGGTCAACATGGTATTCAGAACTGTGAGAGATGGGAAAAGACCGAAGGGAGAGAGTATGTAACTTATCCCAAAATGCCAAGAGATCGGGGGCAATCCAGACCAAGGCCACAGAAAGAATTGCAAGGTCCAAAGACTGAAGGAGGTTCTTAGCTGGTGGTGATCAAAGAGAGGACACTGATCACTTTGTCACGTTGCCTTTCAGACATTGACTTTTCCTTATTTTTTTGGGCAGGGAGAACCCAGCTGTCTTGGGAGTTTTCTCTAATACACTGGCAGGTCTTGTGCGATGGCATAAGCTTTATGAAAAATATTCTGTGAGGATTAGAGTGCTGCAAAGGGACAAATACCTAATTTGAGAGAGCAATAAATGATAGTGAAACAGAGTTTCTATATATATTGAAATTCCTTCTAGCAAAATGGAATTGTTGCAATGATCAGAAGGTGAAATCCCTTAGTTAGAAAGGCCATTGGGAAAATGCACTGTTAAACACTTTTAGAATTTTTTTTTTTAAAAAAAAAAATATGAAGAGGTATAGGTCTTCCTCTTTATTGTCCAGGAGTTTGGATCAAATTTGTTATATTGCTTACTATTTATGGTCACTAGTGCTAGACATGATGGCAAGAGTGCACTATAGTGTCAGATTTAGAATTGACCCTTGGAATTAATCCTATTATGTGTAAATGGTCCTCTGAACCACCACAGTCTGCTGTTAGGCTGCACACTGGGATGTGGGTGTTGTTTTTTTTAGTGATCTTTTCACTACTGTCAGTACCAAAATACCTTTTAGTTTATGATATGATTAAACAGTTGCTGTTCAGAGCTGTATTTCAAAAGAGCGATTACACTGAGCCTGTTAATTCTAGATACCAGTGTGCCAGAAATATAAAAAGCTATGCAAGTAGCGAATTTCTTATCTTCTGCCATTTTTGGCCCAAATTTGTTGTACCCAATCTTGGGATCAGAGGATTGTATTCTACCATAATATGGAGAGGGGAAAATGTAAATGTATTTTTGCTCACATACACCCACATGCACATGTGCACATGTATTATATTCAGTAGTTCTCAGAAATCAAAACTTGTATCAATATATTTTGGGATCATATGAACATGAATTAGGTTCACCTCTTATGTACTGGTATATATTTGTATGCAAATGCTGACGGCCATTTCCTCCAATTTGTTAATTTCTACTTTGATTTATATTTATGATTTTCACTATGTTGAAAAAAAATGTAGTGACTGTGAGAGTACCTTTTAACCTGTTGCCTTTGTGTAAAGAAATGTTGCCATCTAACTATACAACGTTCCTACTCTTGGCCCTAACACTGGAGCAAGGGCATGTGCAATACAACTACTGGCTAGAATGGCCAAAATGAACCTCCAGATAGAATTGCTTAATGTTTTCATTCTGAAAGCTGAAAGATCACATTTCTGATTAATGGTATGCATAGGTACAGTCCAATTTGCGTGGCTCAGATCATGAAAGGACTGAAATTAAGCTCAGTTCTTCACCTGTAATGAAATTTGTGGCAATGTGAAGCAAAAACAAAAATGAACATTAAAGTCCAGCTGGATAAGCCAACCTATGAATCTGTTTTTTGCTGAGTAAAATTCAATAGTCGCTATTGTACCACACCAGACTAGATTAACCCCTTCATAATACTGTCTTCAAGTTTTGTTACGGGTTTTTGCTTAGTTACCTAAGTAGTCGTATCCTCCATTATGAATGGAACATGGGAAGTCTAATGTGAGCACACAAATTCTATAGCCACGTGCTTTTGGTATATTATGGCTTGCCTAATTCTGCAAAAGTTGGACGTTTTTAATTATATTAATATATTAATTATATTCAGTATAAAAACCAGCAGTATATCGCAGGTAGGAACAACATACACTGAGCAGCACAACCAAGTAGTGGCCCTGTGTACAGGAACATCTGCCGTGTATTGTGTTATAGCCTCCCAAGTCCAGGTGGGAAATTCCACAGGTCTTGGATCACATAAGAGGGCTAAGATCCCATGAGATTTCCAGATCCAGGCAGGTATTAGACAATCAATCAAACATCGTAGTAGACAAGGACCAGAAGACAGCAATGGTGATAAATGTATCAGTACCAAGTGACAGCAGCATCAGGAAGAAGTATGAGAAGCTGGAGAAATATCAGACCTGAAGGAAGAACTAGACAAGATATGGAAAGTAAAGTAACGTAGTCTCAGTGGTGACAGCACTCGGCTCTTGACTTCTCCAATAAACCCCAGGAACAACCTTGGAGGTCTCTGCTCAGAAGAGTGCAGTGTTAGGAATAGCTAAGATACTGCATAGAAGCTTCAAACTCCCAGGCTGTTAGAGGACTCAAGATTGAGGAAGACTCATAGTATCCATAGGGGTGAGTAGGGAAATGCAGTTTCAGCTGGGCTTATACAACACTTATGCTGTAATACATTATAGTATACTTTATTAACACAGTAAACCATGATTCAATTACATGTCAGATTTTAATTCTTGCCATGGAAGGAATGTGGAAAATAGTTTCAGAGAAAAATACTAGATTGGATTGGATCCCAGTAGTAACTAGATCAGAATCAGGTCCCTTTAGAATCAATTTTTATCGGCTGACTTGTTTCTTCTTTGAATTATTTTAACAGCGCCATACAGAAATACTATGTCTATAAAACTTAACTAAGATAGATTGAAGAATATGATGAAAGGGCTCTAGAACAGAGGTCCCCAACCTTTTGGGCACCAGGGACCAGTTATATGGAGATTTTTCCACAGACCAGAGGGGGTGTGGTTTTGTATGCTGCCTGCATTCCGCGGATGGGGCTTTGCTTCTTTGTGCAGACCGGTTGTTGACATGCTGCAACCCAGTACCGGTTGGGGACCCCTGCTCTAGAAGATGGAGAGATACAGACAACTCAGTGCTGCTTCTTAGTTGTCATTTCCAGAACTTTTGTAGGGTTATTATGCCTCACAAATTGGTGTGCTAGTGCAGAGGGAGGTCCCTAACCTTTTGGGCACCAGGGACCGGTTCCGTGGAAAGAGGTTTTTCCGTGGATTGGAGGGTGCGTGGTTTTGTGTGCTGCCTCCATCACGCGGATAGGGCTTTGCTTGTTTGTGTGGACTGGTTAATGGCATGCCACAGACCGGTACTGATCCACAGATCGGGGGTTGGGGCCCCTTGTGTTAGTGACAATGATCTGGAAAAAAACAACAATGTTTGGTTCTTTAAGGGTTGAAAGTAAGAGTAGCAGGAGTCTTCCTTGGCTGCATTTGTTGGTATTTGCGAGAATAGGCTGGAACAGTTATAGACAGACTATGTTCTCAGTACAAAGACAGTGGAAGTCCACAGATCAAAACAGTTTCAGAGCAACATAAGAGCAATATGAGAAACGGGTTGCTGTATTTCAATATCATATTCTATGAAAAGCATTTAACCCCTAATGCTAGCAGACAGATTCCATTTCCTTCAGGCAGAATTAAAACCAATCTATTTGCAATACATTGAACTGCCCACACGTACAATTAACCTATTAAGAGGCTTTGCTGCTCCTCTATAATCACCATTTTCCGACCTTGGAAGATCATGACAAGGCAGATCTGGTTTTGATGTAGGCTACAAGTAAGACATTCTAGAAGAGAGATGCTTTGTTTCCTTTCTGGAGCCTGTAAGTTGCTTGAAGCTGAATGGTATGCCCTAGAGCAGGGGTAAGCAACCTTGGCTTTATGACCAGAATTCCTGAGCCAGTTATGCTGGCTCAGGAATTCTGGGAGTTGAAGTCCACGAGTCATAAAAGAGCCAAGGTTGCCTACCCCTGCCCTAGAGCCATCAATTTTAAAAAACCAAGTGCCTTCTCAGTATATTACTACAGCAGTTATTGAGGCACAGAGGGGAAGGGAGAAGTCATTCAATCTGAACTCCATATTCAATTTCTTTTTCAGAGAAGTGCAATGAGATTGTTTGGTTTATTCTTTATTTTTTACAAAAAGGACCACCTCACTGAGACAGAAATATTGACGGTATCCCCTTTGTGCTGGGTGAACAGCCCACGCAATTACCTTCAATGTTTTCTCAGTGTTTGTTCAAAATCAAGATATAAGCATCTCTACATTCTGAATGGCTTTAACTGGGTCTGCTTTGTGTAACATGAAATAACCTTGAACTTGTGCAGCGCTGATTTTAACAGAGACAGAAAGGGCTCGTTTAGCAAATTGCTCAGCTAGAACAGATGGCTGGTCTGGATAGAATTTGTGGAACATCTGTTTGAACTGCCACTCTGAACAATACCCAATGTACTGTTTGAGGTCTACTCGGCCTGGGCGAATCAGGGCTGGATCCAGCCTGCAGGAAGTGAAAAAAACAACAAAGAAGCTCAGTAAAAGTTTAACCTCCCAAATATAGCTTCCCTCTTTATACACAAGCCCAAAATGCTGTTATTTCTAAAATTCCAAAAAGAACGAGGCTAAAAAACTTTATCTTAAAATAAAATCTGTTTTATTTTATCTGTAATGTATAATTGGCCATCATATTCAGGAAAAATATAAATTTGGTGGCCAGTAAATATATTAATACCAATAGAGGTCCTATTTTAATTAAATCTTTTAGTTCTTCCTCAGCTATACTACATCAATCCACACTAAAGAGTCCTGCACAGAATAAGGAAGAACTATCACTAAGGTATGTACAGCACAAAGTAACATTTTAAATAATTGTGCCCATATCCACTTCACACAGAATGACTATACAGTGCTTCATATTCAGTTCTGATTCATGAAAGCAGCTGTGTCTATTTTATTTATTTTATTTTATTTTATTTTATTTATGAGACTTATATACCGCTTTAAGTGCAAGCACTCTCTAAGCAGTGTACACCAGTAAGCAATGTCTATATATATTTACATTGCCCCCAACAATCTGGGTCCTCATTTTACCTACCCCGGAAGGATGGAAGGCTGAGTCAACCTTGAGCCGGTGAGATTTGAACCGCTGACCTGCTGAACACAGTCAGCTAAAGTGGCCTGCAGTACTGCACTCTAACTGCTGCGCCACCTCAACTCATTTTCATAGCTACTACATAGTTAGAATCAATCATCGCTAATTTAATGTTATAATTGCACTCCCACAAACTATGAACCTCCTTTACAGAATCATATAAAGCTTACATAGCCTAATATAGATATATTTCCTCTTCTTCCTCCTTCTCTATCACCTACCTTTAAATTACCCACCTCCTTGCTACAATCCTAGCAGCCAACATGAAGCCAGGAAAGGTAACAGCGAAAACTACATGTATATTTTGCAGGTTCAATGTTGTAAATGTTTCAAATCATGACCAAGGCCATTAATGACAATGCCACTGCCAACACATTTCAGCCTTGTCACTCCATAACACTTGACCTATGATTCTTTCTTAGCAGGCTAACATTGCCCCGTGCTTGGGAAGAAAAGCTGAAAGTTATACAGATGAAGTTTCTAGGACACTTCACAAGAGCCTCTCTTTTCTTTGATTTCTTTCTCCTGTTTTCTCCTCCAAAATAATGCCCTACTATATTCTTTTATCAGTCAACACTTGCCTTAGGAGAGTTTATATCTTTGCTGTCTTTTGAACACGAGGGGTGCCACAAGCTTTTTTTTTTAACAATTTGCTTAGATATTGCATGAGATAAAATGGGATGTATTGATTTATGTCATCAAACCATTAGGGCTTCTACTAGTGTAGGGGTGTCAAACTGCTGGCCCGCGGGCCGGATGCATCATAGTGAAACCACGCCCACCCCATTGCCAGCAATGGCAAAAAAGTCACGATACGTCAAGACACATCACGTGATGTTGTGAGTTTGACACCCCTGCACTAGTGTTTCAGCGTGCAGCTGATAAAGGGCATCACTGGAAACAATACTGTGACTGGAAATTGATAATGGAAGAAACTCTGGGAATGGCAGCTGTTTGTTTTCCTATTCTGTGGTTTTGATTTAGCAGCCAGAGCAGAGGTGTCAAACTCGCTGTGTCACGTGACGTGTTGTGACGATTGTGACTTTTTCCCCCTTGCCGGAGTTGAGGTGGGCGTGGCTTCCGCGTGACGCATCCAGCCCATGGGCCGGCAGTTTGACACTCCTGAGCTAGAGCAAAAACTGCTAACTAGTTATGTCATCATTATCAGCAACCGTTATTACTTAGCCCTTATTTGAGGGAGTGCAATCTGGAAAGTGGCTTTATTGCTAGGGAAATTGTCAGGCCCAGAATTGCCAACCCCAGCAAACATGAGCATGTTATTGTCATGGATCTGCCCACTGGACTCCTCTCCAGAGGTGAGTTCAGGGGAGGAGGGCAAGTTTGAGTCATCAGATGAAAGACTAGAGCTAAGTGTTGGTCAGGATCAGGGCTCAAAGAGTGCTAGCCTGAGGGAACAGCCTTGTTTTAATCAAATGGGCCACAGGCTGAGGCTGAGGGAGATGAGCCACAGCTTCAGGGAGTTGGCCAGGAGGCTCCAGGTGAGGACCTGGAGCAGCTGCTGTCTGTTAGCAGTGAGGAGGAGGTGGAGTTCTTCTAAGTCAAAAGGTCGGCTAAGTTAATAATCCCCACCTATCCCACTTTTTGTTCATCAGTTCTAACCTGTCCATATAATTCGTAGTCATAAATACTAGTCTGGCTTCAGAAGAAGCTACACCATCCAACGCATTGAGAAGGCCACTGAATGTTAAACGTCCCATGCCTTGATATGCAACAGGATCTGAAGAGAAAAAGCAACAGAGTGTTATTCAGAAATATGGAACAAAAGAAAACTAACAGTATGAGTAAAGACATAAATATTACTAAATTTTGCTTGGATGTAGAAGCAGCTTCACCAACTGGTTTTAGAGCTCCCATAATTCTTATTCCCACTACCCACTACCACAGAGAGAGAAAAAAAATAAAACTTTTTTTTTCTATCAAGGGCTGTATCAAAGGTATCTGATTTAAGAATTTGCAGGTTACCAGCAGATATTGAACCGTTACAAATATGATGCTAACCAAGGTTGCCAAACTATTCTCTTTCTTCTTTCTATTTTGCTATGTGGGAGGAGAAGGGCAATACATTATTGTTAAGTTCTGAACTGATTGCTTATCAGAGCAATCTTTAATCTGGGATAGGCAGAAGTAGATGACCTGCAGTCCAATTCCTGGATTTGTAATACTTGGAACATCTTCTAATCATGGCTGCAGAAAACGGATGGCATCATTTGAGCCAGTAGTGTGCTGCAGCTGCAAAAAAAGCCAACAGTTCTAGGCTGCGTGAACAAAAGGACGGAATCAAGATCATGTGAAATGTTAATACTACTTTATAATGCCTTGGTAAGGCCACATTTGGAATATGGCATCCAATTTTGGTCTCCATGATGTAAAAAAGATGTTGAGACTCTAGAAAGAGTGCAGAGAAGAGCAACAAAGATTATTGGGACTGGAGGCTAAAACATATAAAGAACAGCTGCTGGAATTGGGTATGTCTACTTTAATGAAGAGAAGGACGAGGGGGACATGATAGCAGTGTTCCAATATCTGAGGGTTTGCCACAAAGAAGAGGGAGTCAAGCTATTCTCCAAAACACCTGATGGCAGGACAAAAAGTAATGGATGGAAAATAATCAAGGAGAGAAGCAATCTAGAACTAAGGAGAAATTTCCTGACAGTTAGAACAATTAATCAGTTGGACAACTTGCCTCCAGAAGTTGTGAATGCTCCAACACTGGAAGTTTTAAGAAGAGTTTGGACAACCATTTGTCTGAAATGGTATAGAGTTTCCTGCCTGAGAGGGGGGTTGGACTAGATGACCTCCAAAGTCCCTTCCAACTCTGTTATTCTATTCTATTTTCCAACCATGTTAGAGGGAATGCATTTCATTGGAACACATACAAAATTAGCATGTATTAAACTAGACATATCACTATTAAAAGGCAAAAAAAAAACCCAAAACCCAATCCTCCCAAGACCCACTCCCTCCAAGCTTACATACGCATGTTTGGTGTTATTCTAGCCATTTTGTAGCCCTCAGCCCTGGAAAAATGCTAATTGCAGCCCTTGGCCATAAGAAGGTGGCTTATTCCTAGAACTAAAGGAAAACAGCTTCAACAAGGCATTTCATATGACATCTCCATGGTACAATGACTCTGTCACAGGTTCAAAGTTAGGCTCCAGCTGGAATGAAGGAATAAGACAGTTTGGAATAGGAAGCCAGAAGGAGCACGTGTCTCTCACTCACTTTCAGCAGCAAGGTCCCGACTGACAAAGGCCGCATCTATGTCTTCCAAGAGGATGATGCTCTGTTGTGGAGCTACACTCAGCAAATGATTGAGGCGATCATCTGAGAGACTTCGATCACTCAGGCTCAGAAGACAGATGCTGTACTGCAATTTTCCAGCCAGGGCTGTGCTGTAATAGGTAGGAGTTTCATTTCAGAATGTACACATGCAAGAAAAAAAAAAGTGTTTGAAAAGAGGGGAGGAGCTCCTCCACATTCCTCTCAGAATTTAAACACCTTTGTTTGCTCCATATCCATGTAAATAGAGTTCTGCATTTACACACAGAGAACCACCATGTTAACTTCTAAATTAGCCTAAATCACCATTAAATAAAAAGGTTCAGAGTAAGAGGATACTATCTAGAATAACATAATCAAGTTGCACTTTAAATCTTAAGAAAACATATTTGATTAAAGTTTTGTTCAGAATCAGATTCTCTGAGAATTATATCCCTTTTTCCTGTGATAGTTCCATTACTTCTTGCTTTCTTGACATATATGTACTATATTCTCTCTAGGATGGCTTTTATCATCACTTCTAAGAAGAAATATTCCACAGGTGAATCCACTTGGAGCAGTTAAAAACAGCAATAGGTTGAACCAAAAACACTTTTGAATAATTTAATGTAGCTTGATATAACTCAGCTTGCAGGGAAAGAGACAATAAGTATCAAAATTGCATGAATGATTCTTCCCCAAACATCACAAATTATGAGGAAAGGGAGACGCTAGATTAGCAAGCCCTTATCACTTTGCTCCCTGCTGAAAAACTATTTCTAAGTCCACAAAAGGACATTTATTACATCACTTTTATGCCCTGCATTTTGTGAAAGTTACTTCCTAATACAGGTGACTGCTGTTAATTTGGCCTTTAAAAAGATCCTAAAATACTTGTTCTAATTGGTCTACCAATGATTAATTTAAAAACATTTAACCCTTTTGTTCAAATGACAATTTAATTCCACTCAAACACAAGTGTTATCACTTCGAGATACCTTAGAATCAAATCAAGCCTCTTCCAATTACACAGTGGCATACAATATTCTCAAACACTGCTAAATAAGGATGGGAAGAAGGGATACTTTTTGAGAACAGGTTCGATATCAAGACTACAGAAAGCCCACACTTACATGAAACTGCTCTTGCCACAACCTGGGGGCCCATACAGTAAGTATCCTCTCCTGTAAGGTATTCCTGTGAAGAAAATATCTAATCAGAAGACACCATTCAATTATCCAATTTTCTACTTTATGAGTTATAATCACCATGCTCTAGAACAGCGTTTCTCAACGTTCGTGTGACGGCGACCCCCGTCACACGAACATGCTGCGCATGCGTGGCGGCGCCCCATGTGCGTTGCACATGCGCGGCAGCGCCCCCATGCGCGGCGCACATGCGCGGCGGCGCCCCCTGAGGGGGGGAAATGGCGGATCGCATTGTTTGGCGACCCCCATAAAATGGTCGATCGACCCCAAATGGGGTCGCGACCCATAGGATGAGAACCGCTGCTCTAGAAGTACGCAAATAATTTTTCTGCCACTTCTAAACAAGGAAACAGTTTTCTAATGATCAGCTCCAGATATTGTGAAAAAAGTTGCACAAGAGTACTTGCATTGTGGTGAAAATGATGAAGTCCATTTTCTTATCCTCTTACAGTCTTACGGTTTAGGCTTATCCTGGGTGAAATTATATGTAACTTTATTAAAACACTACTTTACAGGCTGTCCTCAACTTACGACCATAATGGAACCTGCCAATTATAATCACAAGCTGTGATGGTTGTTAAATGAGACTCCCACATGGTGTGGTCTAATGACGGTACGGATCATTAAGCGAAGCATGAGTTCTTCAGGGGTGGCAGAGTCCCTGGAAGGCCTAGCACAGGCCCAGGCCTAAACTTCAGCATCTCTCCAGCTTCCAGCTTCCGGGGTGGGTAAAATGAGGACTCAGATTGTTGGGGGCAATATGCTAACTCTGTAAAACTGCTTAGAGAAAGTTGTACCATTATGAAATGGTATTTAAGTTTAAGTGCTATTACTATTGATATTACATATTGCCTGCCCATCAAGCACCACATGCTCCACTTCCCACTTCTTAGGGTTCCTGTAGGCCTTGGGCCTCTTTCTTGCCCCACTGGTTCCCAGAGCTCAGACTGGGAAAGGAAAGCAGGCTGCTTTACCTTCAGCATCCCTGCAGACTACATGGCTCCAATTGAAAATAATTTTGCAAGCATTTATTCAAAAAGGATTACCATAATGTGAGTTTGACCTAGAAGATTTAATTGTCTTTTAAGAAATATCCTAGACATTTTGGAATACTTGGAGCAGCATAATGAAAAGCAAGCTGCATTATTTTCTTAGACAGGTGCACATAAGACCTTTGGAAATTTGAACTGGGCCTTCCTGATTAAAGTTTTAGAAGATATGAATTTTTGAGAGAATTCTATTACTGTAAATGCATAAGATTGATTTACACTTCAGAGAAAGCACAAATAATGGTGAATGAATTGTGAATTGTGAACTAACAAAACCTTTTGAGATACAAAGAAAGAGACAAGACTGGGATGCCTGTTGTCTCCTCTCCTTTAGTTCTTGAAACACTGAATACAGATATTAGACAAGAGGAGAGAATATACCCTCTGTGTATTTGGCATCAAATACATCCTGATTTATCTATAAAGGAGAATCAGCGCATTATGTCATCTCACTGCCAGCCTCTGAAATGCACTCACCTCTATCAATGTACCACTTGGGGTTATCAATGAACTCTTTCACATCTTGCACAATCCTCTCTGATATTCCTTTGTCGAACACTACAGAGGTGAGTGGGCGTTGTCGTCGTGGGAAACCAAATGGCCGCCATTCAGCAGCCATTGCTGTATACATTACTGTTTTGCCTTCTTGCTGTCTCAGAGCCAATTCCCTGGCTAAAGAGAAAGTAAAATGTGAATTATACAAAATATCTGGCTATAAATCGGAAGGAAGCCAGGACAAAGCAGAAAAAAAAGCTAATTCCTAGAAACAAAAAGGAATCAAAATACCACGTAGAAGAGATTGCCTGTTTAGACACAATGTCCAAATCTGGTTGGTTTGTACTTTGGTCTGAGCAATATTATATTCAGGGATGCTTCATGTTTGGGGTGCTAACATACCTTCTTGCATGATGTTGAAAAAAATTTCTCTTTTATTGCCAACTGCTGTAAATGTGACAGACTCCCAAGGGGTGCCTGTGTGGAGATCAATCATCTGGTTCTCCCGGTTCCGTTCTATACGTATCCACTTCTTTTGATACCTGAAAGCAGAGGAAGGAACACCTGAGTAGGATAATCTTTTCTGGACTTCCACCTCCAGAAACATCCTTTTCCATGCCTGTTGATCTATAATCAAACAAGAGTTAACATAGGATTTATATGTTCAATTATGGCCAACCAAAAAAGGCAATGGCACAGATAACAAAGATATCTCTTTTGTGACTACCTACTCTCCCAACTTACAAGCTTAAAAAATTGGGTTTTGCTTTTTGCCTGAAATTCCATTTTTGCTGTTTACCCATGCTATAAAGCTCATGTTTCTCAGGACTTTCTCCAGTTTTCTGAAAAAGGAAAACAGGAAAGAGAAATTTGTTCTGTGAGTTTTCTTCTGCTCTTGTAGCAATATAGTGTAGGATACTACAGTAATAGGAATAAGGAAAAGTTACCCATCCAATCAGTTTTGCTTACATAAAATGTCTCTATTCCATTGTTTAAATAGCTCCAAATTTTTAGAAATAAAACTATATGTGTATAATGCAAACAACGAAATAGTGCAAAAGGAGATTTAGCTATTAAAATAACAAAAAGCATTTCAAAATATTTTATTATCATGATCTGAGTTGGAGGAGTAAAAAACCAGATGTAATTGTATGCTTGTTTACTGGAGATTAAATTAAATAAGCTTACAAAAAATGTCAGTGCTTAGCTGATATTGATTAATCTTAAAAGATAAACAAAGTTGAATCTAGTTCATATTCCAATTGATAAATCAGAAAATAAAAATAGAAATGAAATAATGGAATTGATTATTCAAATAAATGAAAATAAAATAATTTTAAAAATCCACCATGGAATAAGGCAACAGCATGACTGCTAAAAAAAAACCCCTGCGCAGATGCACCCATGAAATAAGGATTTAAGCTAAGCTCAAGGGAGATTTTATCTTACCTTTAAATCCTAGAGTTCAATTTATTCTTAAATATGGAGGCATGAGAGTATAGAATAACAGCATGAAGTTTCAAAAATAAGACACTTGCTGAAACAAAAATTTAGCCACTGTTGGAAATCATTGGCATAATAACTATCCTTTGAGATTCAGCAGAATATAGAATTTGCTCTGACTGCACACTTGTAAATATCCATTCTATTTCTCCTGCACATGCATTTTGCTGTTTTCTTGATCTTTGCCTATTTTGCAATTTTAGAAACTGAAGTTCAGGATGTAGACATTTAAATTTACTTTCTTCTGTTAGTTGTGCACTGAAAACTCCTGCTTATTGCCATAGAAGTATTTGGGAGTTATTGCAAAATATATCTATTCATGTTCATAATCTTCCCACTACTTGCAGCCTGGAGATATTTCATGGTCTCCCTTACCAAATGAAATGATTCCCAGGGCTGGGAATAAAGTCAAATTTTGTACTGACACGGCCACTCTCGTGTTGCAGGTAAGAAGTCTCCACGCTCAGGTGCTGGGTGTGCTTAGCATGGTGAGATATCCAGTTCAACAGCCAGTGGTAACTCTTGTCCCTGCTTGGCACTTCCAGGGTGATCATATAATGCCGTTTGAAAACCATCATGCCAACCTGAGCCCCCTTACGTGCCAGGGCCAAGGCTGTGCCCACACCAACTAGACCAAAGCCTGCCCCAAAATACGGATTGTCCTTTAGGGCTAAGATAAAGTCAGAGAAAGGCATTGTGTGTGGGAAGAGCAAATAATGCCAAAGTTAAATAATCACTCTGTGTGGCATTTCTTTTAAAACCTGAAAAAAAAAAGGAGAAAGCAGTTAAACCCATGAACGGTTTACTGACAAAACTCAAAGGCACGAACAGCTTGCATCAAATACACCGGACTTTTTGCAATGTCTAGATACCAGACGGCTCTCTGTCTGGTATTACAAGCCATTCATTTCAGCGTACTGCAGTTGCTTAGCAAACTAAACTCAGGAATCAAAGAGAACTTGGTCTCTAGACTCGCCTATACAAAACAGAAACTGTGCAGATTCCCATAACTGCCCTTCACTTGTTAAAATAAGGTGGGGAGAACCTCTTTGGGTTTTAAACTTAAAAAGTGGTTTGTCCTCTTTTCCTCCCTCTCTCTCTCTCTCTCTCCAGATTTACTGGAGAAAAATGCAGCCTCGTGTAGATAAAAGGAACGAGAAAGCTATCCTACCTCCTACTGCAAACCGGAGCTTGAGTAAACCCCACTTCCCACCTTCCCGCATACAGCGTACTACTGTAGACACCCGATCTCCTACTTGCCCTTCCTTGAGCGACCTTCCCCTCTTCCAATCAGCGCCGCCCCGTCACTTCTGTGGTTCCACCTGATCGGGAGAGGTGACTCTCCGCCCTCTTGTTCCTACCGAGATACCTCTGTAGCATATGCAAGAATAAGTTTAGAGCAGCTTTTCCCAGCCTTGGTGTCTTTAAGGCGCCTGGACCAACTCCCAGAACTCCCCATAATTCTGGCACTTAAAGGCCGCAGGTCTTAAAGTCCCTGAGGTTGAAATAACGGTTTAAAATAAAACGGAAAGCAGCCACTTGCTACTCCTCGACTTTTACAGGCACCGTGGAACCACTCTAGAGAGTCAAGCCCTTTACAATAAACACGAATAGAAAGCAGAGATCCGCTCTGAGAAAAGGTCGGCATGGGTGATTCTAATTTTCCTAGCTCTATCTTCATTTTTCGCTTCGGAACCGAAGGCTGGCTACTTTCTATGACATTATCCTACACTCTATGGTTTCTGGGAAAGCGGTAGGTTCCTGGGTTCCTATATACGAACGTTCGCGGCAGGGAGTCTGAATATCGGGATTTTGATTTGTGAGAAGATGACGAGCTGTTCTCCTGCTTTGCTTTAAGGCACCTACCGCGCAGCAGGGATAGGAAGACACTCTCTACACCTCGTCTTGGGGCAGCGCCTCCGATCCCCCAACGCCGAAGCCTGTGTCAAAGGTTACCATAGAGTTGCTCGAGGAGAGCGCGGACGAAGCAACAACAAAGAGGGAGGGGGAGAGAGGCTAGAGAGGAAAAGATGGGTGCTTTCCTACCGGCGCGGGGAAGGAAGAATCGTTGAGACACGGTGCCTGGAGTGGGAAGCCGGGCATTGTAAGTGGTGAGGAGGGGAGAGGCGAGAGGAAGCGCGAGTCAGGACCGGTGTTTTTGTCGAGGGAAGGCAATGGAGCTATCCTGGGGCGGAGGGGGAAATAGGTAGCCAGAAAGGCAGAGGACCAAATTGGCTTTTTTCGGGAGGGGGGTGGTGACGGGGTGGGTTTCTGTGCTGCTCTCGAGGATCTCTTATGCTTAAGGGATTTTTGAACGTGGGTACTACAATGGAGGGCTCTGTTAGGGGCCTGAAGAGGAGCAGGCCCTGGCTCCAGTTGAGATTCGTTAGTCCTATAGAATTGGCTGTTTGTCATTCGGATTCAGAAAATGCTGTCATCAAATTGGTGGTTTTGTATCCTTTCTCTTGCACTTCAGAGACTGATAAGAATGGTTCATGCCTGGCATACAGAATCCAGAAGGTTGCAGAAAAAGCCCACGAGAAGAAGAGGAAACTGGGTGTGTGAGTTAATCCTTTTCCTCTTGCCTAATGAGATGGCTACTGTTCTTAATCACCAATGCTGCTTTTATTATAATAACTATTAAAACAATATAGAAAACCTCTGTATCACCTAATTCTCAACATCTCAGAGCAGCTTGAAAGTATATAGAAGAGATACCATGAAGGAATCCTGTGTCCAGGAAATAAAAGTATAGGGTAATGTGCATATATACATAGTCCTCAATTTACAGCCATTCATTTAGGGACCAATTGAAGTTACAGTGGCACTGAAAATGTGACTTGTGACCAGTTTTCATACTTACAACTTTGCAGCATTCCCATGGTCACGTGATCAAAATTTGGTTGCTTGATAACTGGCATGTATTTATGACAGTTGCACTGTCCTGAGATCATGTGATCACCATTTGTAATCTTCCCAGCTGGCTTCTGACAAGCAAAGACAGTGGGGGAAACCAGATTCACGTAACAACTGCAGTGATTCCCTTAAGTGTGGCAGAAAAGGTTGTAAAATGGGATACAACTTGCTTAACAACTGTCTTCTTAGCTATAGAAATTTTGGGCTCCATTGTCATACGTTGACAGGACTACCTGTATATATAATGTACAGTATGGACAGAACCTGGTGAAGCTGATTGGCTCCAGGGTGACAAAGGAGTGTGACAAGTCTGTACTTTCATCTTATGTATTCAAGTCTATATGCTAAATATATATTAACAGAGATTGGATTGAAAGAAGATGAGTGTGGTTTTAAAATTGGAGGAAGAAACATCAATAACCTGTGCTATACTGATAACCAAAAATGCAAAGAATCTGCAAGCTCTAGTCATAAATGTCAAGGAGCAAAAATGAGACTAAAATTAAATATAAAAAAGATCAAATTAATGACGTAACCCAATCAGCCTTAGAATTGACAATGAAGATATTGAAGTGGTGGATAGCTCCTGCCTTTTAGCTCAATGATCAACAATAAAGGAACCAGCAGTCAAAAAATATGTTGTAGACTGGCCCTTGGTAGAGCAGCTGTAAACTTCTTAGAAAAGATATTGAAATGCCATGATATGGCTTTACATACAAATATCAGAATCATGCAAGCCGTGATATTCCCTGTGACATTCTATGGAAGTGAAAGTTGGACTTTGAAGAAGCTGGATAGAAAGAGTTTTGTTGTTTTTAAACTTTGGTGTTGGAAAAGATACCTGAGAATTCCATGGACAAACAAAAAAACAAGCCAATGGCTCTTTGAACAAATCAATTCAGAATTCTCACTTGAAGCACAAGTGACCAGGCTCAAATTATCTTACTTTGGACACATTATCTGAAGATTCAGCTCTCTGAAAAAGGCTCTAATTCTGGGAAAGATGGAGGGAAACAAAAGAAGAGAACTAACAGCAAGATGGATGAACTCAGTTATAGTAGCAATGAGTACATTGTTGGAATACCTGAAAGACCAGGTTAGGGACAGATCATCTTGGAGATAATCTGTATGGTCACTAAGTGTTGATAATGACTTGGTGGCACATAATCATGGTGAAATATTCTTTCCGCAGAAATTGCAATGCATGTAACTGTAAACCATACCCTTCACTTTTCCTGATAGAATTATTTATTGTTTGCAAATATACGTGCCACTTCCACATCTTAGCCAGCAGCCATTTATATTCATTTGGTCTGGAACCTGTTCTTTAAACAATCATGTTTGTGACTAAATCACTCAGCCTTTCTATAACATCAAGTATAGTGTAGATTAATTTCTGAGAATGCAGATCAAAAATATTAAACACCTTTGGCTGGCTCTTGTGTCTGTAGTCTATGAAATTACTTAAGAGCAGTCTTTCAGTTAAATACATGTTTGCATGCTAATGTGATTTCTATACTATAAAGTAGCCCTTCATCAATAATACAATTAATTAGTTGAACCAAACAGATCAGGAATGGCTATAGTTGAGTAATGAATGGGTCACTGAATGCTAGGCTTTAGAAAAATATGTAAATAATTAAAATAATTATGTAAGTAATTCAAGAAATGGCTTTATTAGGATTATGAAATAGATAAATAAATAAATGCATACAGAAATGATTATAAGAGGCATTTAAAAAGATAGTAATGAGCTATCTGCTAGAGTGAAAAAAGCAAGCAAAATTATGCTTATTCTTTGGATTGAAATTAAAAATGTATATATAATAAACCTACCTTGGGGTGAGCTTCCTCAGCTCAGGCTAGTGGTTCTCAACCTGTGGGTCGGGACCCCATTTGGGGTCGAACGACCATTTCACGGGGGTCGCCAAACAACGCAGTCCGCCATTTTTTTCCCCCTTTTCCTTAGCTGTGCTACTCCCTTTTATTCTGTTGGCTTTTGAAAACCAATAGAATAAACTCTCTTGAATAGAGTCTAATTCTATTGGCTTTCAAAAGCCAATAGGAATTGTCCAGGCTGTCTCTGCCCTGCTGAGCCCGCCAAAAGTCCCATTCTGCAAACGTGCTGCACCAGTTGAATAGTCCTCGACTTACGACCGGTTGAGTAGTCCTCGACTTACGACCGGTTGGGGGTCACGGCATTAAAAAGGTTGAGAACCACTGAGTTAGACTGTGTGTATTAGCATGCCTGTTGATAAATCAGACTTTATATAACACACTGTGATTTCTTTAATTATAGTTTGTATGAAATACCAGAATTGACTCATCTTACATAAAAAACAGTATGTCATAGATTATGATGTACAAGCTGGAACAATGGGATTCTCACATAAAATGCTAAACTAGGATCAAGCAAATTATATCATAATTTAATATGCAATGTAAATCCACTTATTATATCTGAATCCATCAACAATCTGTGATAACATACTAGTGCATTCCAGCTTTAATTTGAAAATATTGATAGAAGACGTCTTAGCCCTTCCCTTTTCATCTTGACTTCATGAGATTAAAACAATGTCTCTTTTTTTCCAAATCCCTTATAATCCTTGTTTGCCCCAATTTAAAATCCTATGTATTTACAGTTAAACTATGTCAGTGGAAATCCTCATGGGTGTAAATTCAGGTTACACTTATTTGCGAGTGTTAGTATGAAAACCATTGTGTTTGTACCTGTACAATTATTTCCTCTTTTATGTAGTCCATTGGAAGATCAAAGTACTGAATTATTTCACATACTATATCAACTGCCCTCCTGCATTTTCTTCTACACAGGTGTGGCTACTAGCAATACTGAACAATTATAGCTGTTAACAATATATTTCTTTATTGCAGTTATTGATGTCCCACCTTTAAAGACACTAATCCTTTCAAAGCATTTAGAATCTATATAAATAACTACAAATAAAATGCGGGAAATGTTGAAAAGCAAGTAAATGTCTAGTATCTTTTCTGCAGGGCAGATGGTAGTAATAGCCCTAAAAGGGAAGGCAGAGTTTAGCTAAGGAGGCCTTGTCCCTTCCTCTCTAAATATCTTCTGCCACAGCTAACTTAGCAAATCCCCTGTGGGAAGGGGAAGAAGTTATCACAAATACTATTCCAGGATAGTTGTCATCTGCCTTCCTCTGGTTTTTTTTTTTCTCCTTTGTTAATATTGGGTATTATCAGTCCATTCTGTATTCATCTTCCTTAGAAACACTATATGTATCCTTATTTATTTCCCTTTAGAAGACTATTTGATTTTTGTGTGTCTTTAACAGGATCTATATCTGTATGTCATGGTGTAAAGCTATTTGAGGAAAGACAATGAGCAGAGGAGCAGTAGCAACAGAATCCATTGGAGACGACAGAATGAGTGGGCTTTGCCAAGAGCTGTTATTACCTGGCTCAGGAATTACAGGAAATGAAGACAGCCATGGCATCTCAAGTGAAAATCTACCAGTGGGACAGAATTTGCTCTTAACAGAGGCTTCTGTTGTAGGTACAGAAACAGGTGGTATTGAAATATTTGTAGAAACCATGAGTAGCACCATGGCTGTCAACAATCCAGATAGCCCAACAGGTATGTTGTACAAAGATAGATTATTTCACATTCACACAGCACTGTCTTAGGCCTAAAGATATTTACCCATGTAGTAGGACTGTATTGATATCCTTCTCATCTTCTCATCTTTCCTATTGCCTTCTATTGGGATCT